TGCCTGAAAAGTCACACAATAGGCTTTTATGCTCTTTTTTAAACATGTTGTGCTCCCAAAGGGCTAAGGCTTAGTGCATAACCCCCAGTCCTCCTGGGGGTTTTGTCACATGTCTCTTGCTACATATTTTCATTCTTTTTTTATATTCTTTTCTTTCTCAACTAAACATAGAATTGCTTGACTTACAGTAAGGAGCATCGGCCACCGGGGCTTCCAGAAGGACTTTGCTGCTCCCACTCTGTCTGACTCAGGGTGGCCGCACACAGCAGGGACCATGGGCTTTTGCAGACTTGAGGCATCCCTGTCCCTTCCTAGGCCTGAATCCTCCAGTGGCTTCCCCTTTGGAATCAGCGTAACACTCAACTCCCTACCCACATCCACAAGTGTCACCGCTTGGCACCTCTGCCCGGAGTGCTCCAGTTTCTGGATTCCCTTCCCATTCATCCATTCATTCCCACATCGGAGCCGGGCTGTTCTCCGGGCATCAAGGGCTCAAGAGCCAGATCGACCTAAAGGTCCAGTCGCCCCTTGAATGCCACACCTGGGGAAGCCCAGGTTTTAAATCACCCAACCCAAACATAAAATCAATCAACCTCTCTCTCTCTCTCTCTCTCTCTCTCTCTCTCTCTCCCCCCCCTCCCTCCCTCCCCCTCTCTCTCTCTCTTTCTCTCTCTGTCTTTCTCACACACACAAACATACACACACACACATACACACACAGCTCTGAAGACATTCCTAGCCTAACTGAGGAGACTTTTATTCTGTTGCACACTGAATCATGTTGCCATGTCTGATGAAGAGCCTTAGTAACACTGCGGTTACACGAGTGAGGATCTTGCTCTTGGGAAATATGTGCCGGAGGACAAAATGTCACGATGTCTGCAACTTGCTTTAAATGGTTCAACGGTGAAAACCCTCACATGTCTAAATGAGCCCGAACATAGATACATACATGAAAGGGAGTAGAAAGTAAATATGGCTTAATGGTAATAATGGATAAATTTACATGAAAAGAAAATGAGTGTTCATTATATACTATTATTTCAACTTTCTATAGATTTGAAGTTGCCCAAAGTAAAAGAAAAGAAAAGAAAATGTTTAAGTCTCCATTCCCAATTTCTGCTCTTTTCTCTTGACTTATTATCTGCGAAGTATCTAAAATTCTCTGAAATTGTATTTTTATTTCAGTGAGTATTGGGTCTTCTTCCTCTGGTGATGCCAGGGAGGGGAGCTTGTGTCACTTTACCAGACTCCTTTACCCCAGGCAGCAGTCCTTAATCCTTGTTAATAGAGTGACCTCACCCTGCCCCGCCCAGCACCCTTGACCTGTGACAGGCCCCCCTCCTCGGGATGAGGTGGGTAAAGGTGACCTGAACACCTCCACTTCCCAACAACCCATAAATCTGATCCATGATCAATACAAAACCAGACAGCTTCCATCTTATTGGGGACATTGATCAGGTCCCCATGAGACCAAGATGACTGCGAGACCCTTCTCGCTTTGTAAAACTCTTGTGTAAACATGGTTCTCCTGGATCCTCAGGTCACTCCTACAAGGATGGTGAAGTCATTGTCTTATTAACAGAAGAGAGGACCAAACCTGGGATGGACATTTGGCTTTGTCCAAAACCCGGTACTTTTACCTGGCAGAGTCAAGATTTCAACCCCATTTTTATGACTTGGAATCAATTATGAGTCACAGTAACAGAAAATCTTTTTAAAAAGTCACAGAAAATCTTTTCTATATGTATGTATAGCCATCTAAAATACTATTAACAGTTCATGAACAACGCTTTAATTTCTGTGTGTGTGAAAAGCACCCAGAACTATGCCATCTCAGAAAGGAAAACAGAGACGGTGCTGTCTAAGTCAGAGCTTCACAGTGTGTGTCACAGTACACGCTGTCAGCAGGAGGGAGGCTCAGGCCACTGGGTTTTTTTTGTGCATCTGTTTTGTTTTGGTGCTGGGGATCTAACTAACGACCTTGCACTTGCCAGGCAGAGGCTCCGCAGCTGAGCCAGATCCCTGGCCCAGGACACTGGTTTACAGCTAAGCCCTCAGATCCCGTGAGGCCAGCGCTTTGGCTCCTTAATCCACCAGCTTCCTCTTCTGCACCCCCATCTCTACGAGGACAGCCAGCCCGTTCCTTGGTGGGTGGCATTGGTGCCTGAAAATCAGTCTGACAACACCTAATGCTTTGTAAGCTATGGAGAGTTAGAGCCTCGCTTCCATCCTATGTGGGTAGAAGACAAAAAGCTGAAATTTCAAGCATGATAAGTAATTGTGCTGCTCACCCCAGAGTTTATTCTCAGCGATGAGTCAAGATAGTCCTACTGGCCTGACAGCGAGGGAGAGAGGGCCTGATCCAAGCTCTGTCCCCAACTTGTACAAGCGACAAAAAGCCCAGTTACTTAGGATCGGTGTTGAATCAATCCGAGACAGTGATCTGCACAATTCAGTATTTTAAAGTATACTTAAAGGGTTGGGCAACCACTGCCATCATCTAATTTTAGCATATTAACTGAAAAGAAACCCTGTCCCTCTTTTCAGAATTCTTTATTCAAGCCAGCTCTCCTTCCTCCTCATTTCTTGGAGCTACTGATCTTCTTACTCCTGCTATGGATGTGCCTATCCTGGACATTTTATACGGATCAGATCAAACATTATGTGGTCTTTCCTGAATTCCTTCCCATGTCATCATGTTTTTAGGGTTCATTCGGGTCATAGACTATAACAGTACTGTATTCCTTTTTATTGCCAAGTAATATACAATTGCATCATTACGCCGTGTTCTGTTTATCCACTCAGCAGTTGACAGACGTGGGATTTTCCAATTTTGACCAATCCGAACAACACTGGCACTAACATTCCTCTACAACTTCAGTGGGGGAAATTATTTTCTTCTTCTCTTAGGCATTTCCTGAGGAGTGGCATAGCTGGGTTATAGAGTAACTAACTCTGCATGTTAACCGGCCAGGCTGTTTTCAAATGACTGAACTATTTACACTCCCGCCAGGAGTGTGGCAGAGTTGTAACTTGTCCACAGGCTCACGATCACTTGTTACTTTTTATTATAGCCGCCCTGGTGAGTGTAAGGTGCTGTTTCATTGTAGTTTTGATATGCATTTCTAAAATGATTAATAGTCTTGTGCACTTTTCATGTGCTTCTTCGTCATTTCTGATTCTTCTCTGGGAAATATCTGCTTATATGCTTTGACCATTTTAATGTGGTTTTTTTATTGAGTTGTAAGTGTTATTTATGTATTTTGGAGACAATCCCTTATCAGATGTATGATTGCCAACTTTTCTCTCATTTTGTTTTCTTTCACCTTTTCAGTAGTATCATTTGCAAAGCAAAAGAATAATTCCCAGTTTTTTCTTTTGTCATTTGTGTTTGTTTTGTCCTTTTGCAGAAAACATTGCCAACTCCAGGCCAAAGACTTACTCTGATCTATCTTCTAAGACTTTCCTAGTTTTAGCTCTTATATTTAAGTCTGGGACCTATTTCCATGTTGAGTTCATTTTTGTGCATAGTGTGAAATAGTGTCTATTTTCCCTGTATGCGTATGGAAATTCATTTGTCCTGGAACCATTTGTTTGAAATGATTACTTGCCCCCAATAAATTATCATGGTACTATTGACAAAATCAATTAATCGGAAATGTAAGATTTATGTTATATTTATATACTTCTCAAAAAATACAATTAATTTAAATCGATCTGTTTTATTGGTTGAGAAATATATATTTCTAGAAATCCACAAAGGAGGTGTACTAGCTAGGGTTCCCCAGAGGAGCATAATCAATAGAAAATGCATGTTTAATTATGCGAGGGGGTTTAATCGGTAGCTTACAGGGTCCAAGGTGGAGGCAGAAGCCATCTGTACCGGGGAGTAGGAGATTCCAGGAGCAACTCGGCCGGAGAAGACTGAAGCTGCAGAGCAAGACAGTGACCAAGGATGCAGCCCCAGCCCGAGGTCAAAGGCCTGGGCGCTCCTTGGAGAGTCACTAGTTTACGTCTGCCTTAGAAATGGAAGAAGGGACAGTGTGATGTCCAGAGGAGAGAGCATCGAAAGACACACCTACCCAAGTGACTGGAGCTCTTCCGAAGAGCCACCAAGTTCCTTTTTGCTCCCTTGTTTCACCCCATCCATGCTATCCCTATCCACAGTGTTGCCGGGAAGGCTCGGGCTTCCTTCCTCAGTTTGCAGGCCCCTGTGCCAATCCTCCCTGGATACGCTCCACACGCAAAGCCGAAACTGAGCTCTATTAACCTGCTGGGCATTTCCTAATCCAGTCCAGCTGACAGATCCCACGAAAAGTCACCAGAGAACAGACCACAAAACATGACTTCTTAAAAAGGGCATTAAGCCTCTCCACATTTTATAAAGGATATTAATTTTCAAATAAAATGTTAAGCTAATATAACTGCAATAAGCACAAGAAAAATACTAACCAACACGGATGGGGTCTAGACCTGTCCTGAGGTCTGGGAGGATGGATGACTTTAATCTCCACAAGACATGGCAAGTCAGGACAGAGTCCTTTGCCCAGGTGAGGAAACTGAAGTTTAGAAGATTGTGTAATTTCCTCCCCCAGTTAGTAAGACACCATGTACTTCCAAGTCGAAATGAATATCTTATAGATATTGCTTAACCGCAAAACCCAGATACTGTATTCCCTTAGGGTCTGAGATCATATTCCAAAATGCAGCCCATGACAATCCTGCAACTTCCTTAAAAGTTTTCTTTTACCTTTAAATTTATGCAAAATTTTCCATCTCTAGAATGTGCATGTACTTAAAATAATTATTTTCTGTGAAAATGCTTTACCTGTAGGAAGAAAAGAAAGCTTTTTTCTGTCATTGAAGAAAACTACCCCTAAAGAAGTGTTCCCAGGTGGCTTTGTATTTGCCTGGAGGTGACGCATTAGATTTGGGAATTCTGGGCTGTGGGTCAGCTGGGTGGCATCGTGCTCACCTGACATTCGGGTGGCCCAGGTCATTCTGCAACTCCAAAGACAAGAGGTAGGGCATTCCTTCACGCTCCTTTTTCTTAATTACAATTAAAACGTCTGTGATCTCTCCTTAGATCTCCCTCGAAGGACCCGGGTGCTTAAATTCTGCAGACAGCTGGGAACAGCTGATTAACACACTTCACGTGGTGCTGAAGCCTGGCTACAAAACAGTTTCCCTAAGCCACTCTTATTTCCATACTAACTTCTACTGCAGAAGCAAACATGTATTCTAGCCAGAACAAAAAGCATAGCCCCAGTATGTAATTTTGGAACAACTTTACCCATGGGGAAGCTTCTGTAAAAAAATTACATATTTAAAAGGAAAGTATTATCAGTTTTGATGAAGCAAGCCAAACTCAGTCACGGGGAGAACAAATAGCGTGTTTACCCTGAAACACCGTGCCAGGACCTGTGTTTCTTTACACTACAGCGTCTGTGAGAGGAAATGTATCTGTCACATTCTCTGAACTTTATCACCGATCTGTGGATGGTTTTAAAAGAGTGAAAAATATGGTGTGATGCTAAACATCTCTAAATGTACTAATTAAGGGTGATCTCTTGGGGAATCAATGGTTAGGGCCATTTATGCATTTGATTAAGAGTCTCTGTGCTTTCTTTAGAGTGAAAATGGTGTCCTTGCATAATGTACATCTCTGTAACTCTAATTTGCCTTGGGACTTGATTTCCGCAACCATTGTGCAATTCCAGTGTTCGGATCTCACAGTCCAAAAACTACTAGCCAGGTGATTGTGAAATTTAATAATGTATGAGGCCCTTTCCTGAACTATTAAGTTAGGTAGGACAGCCACCAAGGATAACTTGTCAAAACATGGGTCTGTCCCTTCAGGAGTGTGCCCAGCAGTGCCTTGAGAAGGACTCATCCTAAGAGAACAGGGCAGTGTGCAGTGAAGAGAAGCCACTGAAGAAGCTTTGGTCATTGCTGGACCCAGCTACACATCAGCAGCCCTCCTGTACTAGGTAAGCTGAACTCTGCTAAAGCAATGACAGGCAAAGCAGTGCCCAGAATCTGGGGACATCAAGAAGAGGTGGTGCATGTCTGCACATTAGTTATGCAGGTGAGCATGTGTTCCTGGAATGTAGAAAGAGAACCACAGGTCTCCAGGGGGAGGACAGCCCTATCTTCATGCTCCTTTACGGTCCATTTTCTGTTGGTTTATCCACTGATCAAAGCCAACAAAATGTCAGGGGTCAGGGAGCTACTGTTGTATCCATCCCAGTACCAATGACCTCCAGCCAGAGACCCCTAAGGACACTCCTAGAGTTGGAGTGTATGATGTAGTTGCTCCTTCCAGTAAAAACAGCATGGAGGACTTTGAGAAGGGTCAGACACTGACATTCTAGAGCTTCTTTCTAGCTCTTCGTGGTGAGAAGTGTGGGGAAGAGTAGATGAAAGGGAAGGCTTTGCCCTAGACTGAATGCCATCAGGAAGGGGGCAAAAGCAACTTCTTTTTTATTTTTGGTACCCGGGATCGAACTCAGGACCTCATGCTTGCTGGACAGGCGCTAATGCCGCTGAGCTAAATCCCCAGCCAAAAAATAACTTCTGTACCAATGATAGCCTTAGCCTCACTTCACTGCTCCCTCATTCTAGGTAAGGTGTGCTAAACTCCCTGATCCTAGAATGACCCCTACTTCTGGCTGGCATTCCCCACTTCAGGTTAAAATTGTCAGCTGTATCTGCGGCTCACGCTTCTGTGTGTTTTCCACCAAAGCTAGAGAGGGATCTGGTTGTTGTCATGATCCACTCTGGTCAAAGCAGTCCTGTCTGGCATGGAGGTTCTGTGAAGGCTTCTGTCTCCCCAGGAGAATTCCAAGGCTTGCTTGATGCTATCAGGCTAAGCCCTGAACAGCAGGAGCTGCTCCACTCTTGCTCACGGGCTAGTGTGTGTGCAAATGAGTAAGCATGGAATCCAGCACGTGGAAGTCACCATGTTCAGATTTCAACAGGATGTGCATTGTTAGGTCACCTCTCTGAGCCCAGCTCCTATGAAGCTACCTTTGAAAACAAAAACCTCTTGTGAAACACTGGAGTTCAAAATGCATTGCCTTGTCTGCCTTAGAATAGCAGATGACACACATAAAAGAGTCAATGCTCTCCTGAGTCACCAGGGACCACCAGGCACTATGCAACTTGGGCACCTGTGGGGCATCAGTAGCCCTGAGAGAGTCTGGCATCCCAGCACTTGATTGGACATTCAAAGCCCCACAGGGAGGGAGAGCTTTTGAGCACAGGAGAAATGCCACCTGGGGACACCCTGGTATCCACAGGGGCCTCTGCAGAAGGCTGAGGTCGTGAATTATGCAGAAGAAGACAGCCAGAAATGGCTCAGTTTACCGTGAGTGTGTGCACCTTTGTTAATACCTATGCCCTGCTGAGGCCTGGCAAGCCTCGTTTATATGTATGTACCCCTTGTACAAAAATCAGCTCATTTTATATGCACTTAATTAAAACGAACTTCTTCTGGAGTTTGGCAATAATGCACCATACACTTTTAACAGCTTTGTGCATCGTTCCCAACCTGTAAGTGTGGATAATCATGCTTACTTATTTATAAAGTTCTTTGAGGTTTTCGGATGAAAGGCTCTTTTAAAGTACAAAGCATTAATTTTTTGTGACAGAGCAATATATGAGAAACGAACATGAAGCATTATAAAAATCTTTGTGTTCTTTCTTGCTTTAAGTTTTAGCTGCTTTCTTTACAGAATCACAAAAAGCCAGTCTCCAACAGGCGATCTGGGGTCTCAGATAACAGAACTCGTAAAGGTGCTGTAAGTAAAAAATCCCGGATAGGCTTGAATCAGCTACTCCTTTTGAAGATGTAAGAACTAAATTGATAGACGAAGTATTTTGTGTTAATGAATTCATTTCAGTGAGTCGCACTGATAATCTTGGGAGTATGTAAATGGACCTCTATTTTTAGACCCCTTATATCCATTTTTTTGACCAGGATGAGCAAGTGAAGTGATAGCAATAGTCAATCATTACAAGTAACCAGACCACAAGAGAAAAATGTGCCAGTTGCTAGGTGATGACTTTCAATCTATCATCTTAGGCAATAAATATAAGATGAAGTTATGGGGAGAGAAGCTATTCATAGCTAAAACTCTATCTAAAATGGCTATTATTTATTGCCTGCAACTGAAATCAGATGAAGTTAAGAAACCCAACACACCAATCCAGAAGCCAAGATGCCACACAATGCAGACATATTTCAAGGACAAATCCAAAGACAAATAGGAGCCAAGGGTTTAGGAGGTGAGCAGAGGAATAAATGGTTGAAAACTCAAGACTCAACCCTGTCACTTATCGATACATTTTAAATTACAAATGTGAAAACGATAAAGTATATTGATTCAAAATCCAGAAGTTTCCTATTTCTGAAATGGAAGAAAATTTTAGCAACACCTCTCCATTAAAAAGCAATATACAATCATGTATTTGACAGTCTGGCATACACAGATGAGGGGTGAGGGCATAGAAATACAGATAGTGTCAAGGGAACCATCAGAGAATAGTGCAAGGTAGTAAAAACCATTGGTTGAAACCCATGGATTGCAACGAGCACTCCATGCCATCTGCATGACAAAGAAGTGCCTGCTATCGTATATTCCACAAGATGCACCTCTCGCTCATTCTCTAAAGTAAGAAGTCATTTGATTGGTGAGAAGCTCAGATGGCTAAAGCCCAGCCGGGAATTATAAAGCACATATAGGAGCTGTCCCTCGTGACGTTTATCTGAACAATCAGGATAAAAAGAAAGATAATTCCACAAGAGAAGAGCTCAGTAGAAGGCAGCATTTACTCTGTACTCACTGTGCTGCTGTGTTTCGGCTCTGCTGTTGGATGATATGTGTGTATGCATGATGATATCATATGCCTAAGGATGGGGTGATTATAACAAGAACTGTGTATGTTGATCTTTGCCCCTGGCTCCCCCTGGTTCCCCAGTTACAGCCGTGACTGGGACTTGAGATTAGCATCTAAAGTGGGGACATTTGTGGGCCTGGGCCATGGCTCTATGGGACGTGATGCTGCCTCCAGATAGATTCATGGTGATGGAGCTAAACCATAGCGAGCCCGGTGTAATTATCTGGTGGTCCTTCCCACCGCCATCTCTGTCACTTGCTTATTCCCCTGCTGATGGCAAAAAGTAACAGCCTGAAAATGAAATGGAACTAGAGACAGGAGCACAGCACACCCAGCAGTCCAGGGTCTTTGGGAAAAGACAACGCAGCCTGACCCTCCTCGGGCTGGACACAGGGCACCCGTGTTGGCTGACAGGTTTTATTGCTTGAGCTGACCCTTGCCAGTGGTGTGGGAGGCTGCGTCTCCCTGGTGGCTCTCACTTTATCACAGCAGGATCACAGACTGACTGACATGACCCTCAAAGTCCAGAGAAGGCAGAAAGATGCTTCAGAATTGCATTTTCTGTTTGAAGGCTTTCAGGCTGACCTCAACCCCAAATAATAAGTGTAAGCCGAAGGAAGAAATTGTCCTGATGACAACAACAAATACCAAAAACTAGAGAGGAGCCTCCGGGTCCCACTTCCCTTCTCTTCTTCCTCTGCTTCCTCCTTCCATGGGGAGGAACCGTTTGCTTTCTCTGCATTCACAGGGAATCCTTTCCCTTCAATACCTCGGGGAGCCGGAAGCTCTCCCACACTCGACTCCAACCAGATCCCCACTGAGTCCTTGTGCACTGTGTTTCTCCAGAGCACCCTGGGGTGGTTCCAGGGTGCCCCCCAGGACGAAAACCACTGCATGGTGACTTCTGTCCTATTGCCCTGCTTTTGCCCACATTATCCGAACTCTGATGGAATGTGCTCGCTGGCCCCGAGTCTCTGAAAATTACCTTCCTCCTACATTCTGCAGATAGATGTAGCTGGGTATCGGCCCCTGTCTGCTTAAATCCACTCTGTACTGAAGCCCTCGGGATCAGATTCCGTCTCTCGTTTCCTACCAAAGGTGTGTCATGACTGGTTTGTTTCTGTTTTTAACCACATCGCCAATATCCATCCTCATCTTCCTCGAGTTTACTGCTGCAATTGATCCTGGAGAGTATTTAACCATTGACAGTCTCTCCTGCCTCGAATTGGCAAGGTTGCTCATACTGCATTTCATTATTTAGCAGCATTACCTCCTTGTCACATCTACTGTCTTCTCATTCCTACAACTGGAGTTGAAGGAATTCCTTGAAGTTTCATGTTGGGCAGTGAGTTGGCTTGAGAGCATAGTGGCAAGTGAAATAAGCAGACGCCAAAGCTTAAAATCACATTTTCTCTTATGTGAGAAACTGGGTATTTTGTTTGAATGTCCACCTTGTATTCTTTGATACTGTGATTTGAGGAACTATTTTCAAGATGATAATATGTAATATACTAACAGGTGATTTCTTACTGTTACGTTTTTGTTTGTTTGTTTGTTTTGTTTTTTTTTGTTTTGTTTTGTTTTTTTTGTAGTTCTGTATTACGTGTACCCTTACACCGCTTTGGTTTGTTTTGTGTTTTTCTCTTTTTCCTCTTAAATAAAAAAAAAAAAAGAAACTGGGTATTTATACCTATGTCTGTATCTGTATCATCTACATCTATATCGGTATTAATATCAGCTATATCTGTATCGATATCTGTATATCCTAGCTGTGTCTATATCATCTATATCTACCTATAGAGCTGTATCTATAGAAACATCTCTACCTATAGAGATCTCTGTAGAGATATCCATGGAGATATAGAGAGGAATCAAAATAGAAAATAAATAGGAAGCAGGGAAAAATACAAATACTTTCCCAAATCATCTGTTATTGTGTTTCAAAAATATTTTGTATCTATGCTAATTTGCTTCATTTATATTACTAGTCTCTCTTAGCTTACTGAAGTGAAGGTTTTATGCTTTTGCCTGTTAGTTTCTTCTTTGCAAGAAAGAGACTTTTTCCTCCATCTTGTACGCTCAACATTTT